TATTAATCTTTATTACATAGTAACATTTTAGGGATTATAATGGATTTATAATATTGTTAACATTCAAAAAACAATTTATTTAGTACTTAAGGAAGACTAACATGGTATTACAGGTGTTAAAAGACAACTGTTTGTAGTTCGGAAGGCTCTAAGAGCCTTTAACTCTAAGTTAAGGTATATACAGTATTTAAAAAACAATCCAAAGAATAACACATCCTGAACTTCCTTAATCCACATCTAAAACTTTACTACTATAAAAAGCAATGTGTACTCCACTTGATATCCTTCTTCCTGGAGGCATTTCTATATTCTGAAATTGCTCTCGAAATCAAACATAGCCTTCAACCCCTGACAATTTCCAAATAGCACTATCAGAAAAATCTGCTTTAGCTCATTATTGTAATTAGAGATTGAAACAAGATATACACAGCTTTCTTTTTAATTAATCTGTGTTATTTTACAGCGCTTGCCCAAGGACTATCACAAATCACAAACCATCACTCCTCTCCCTCCTTTCACACGCTTAGGTTAATAATTTATGAATAGACAAATGCTGTTGTCATTTTTATATTCTTTGTATATGATCATTTAAACCTCCCTATCATTTTATACACAAAGTGAAGTAGTCTGAAAAGTCTGACATACTATAATTCATCTTCTATCTGAGACCACGAGACTAAGCAGAGTATAGTTGCTGTGAGAGCTCTCCTACGGTGAGGCGCTGCAGTCTCCTTCTTGTCAAGACCTGTCATGAGGATTAAATCTTTTTGAGCAAGGGAGTATCAAAGCAGTGGGCAGGAAGAGCACCACAGGAGCTTCTACATCACTGTGTTCGTTTGCAAAAGAACTGTTTCCAGCTTTTTTTCTAAAAACAAAAGGCTGCAAACACCAAACGAGATAGCAAATGACAAAACTGTGCAGTTACACAAATAGTCACTCTCTAACCCAAAGCAAAAGAATGTCAGCATCTTCTGAAATCAGGCCTCTGAACCTCTTGTGTGTCTAGAGGCAACGTGATAAACAAGCGTGTCCAGACACCTTTCTTACAGTAGGTGTTTGGCAAAACACTGAACAAGCACAACAATACAGTGCCTCTATCTAGCACAACAACACATTATAAAGAACTGCTAGACTTTTTATTTTATGGTGGGAATGAATTATAACGGGACGCTCAAACCTGACATCACCTAATTCATTTCAGTTTCAATCTCTGCTGGATTTCAATATCTTCCTCAGAACTCCTCTGGAGATGAGAGGCTTAAAGAGAGCAGCACTAGAGCTAGCTGGGCTCAATTGTAACTGGGAAATTCACAAAAACCTTTCTTTAAACTGATACAACAAAGAATATTTATACACTAAGATCATTAGAAATTCTCTTTCTAGATTAAGAAAAAACCCTGTAACTTTAAAAAAGTTGAATCCTCTGGAAAATCTAAATGTGACAGCAACTCAAATTGTATTGATACACTCACAGCTCCAGGGAAGGAAGAATACAGTGTTACTCAGTCACTAAGGCTTTTTAATGAACTTCATTAACTACATTAACAATCACAGCTGTCCTTTATAACATCAAGATTGATCTCTTCCTGTAATGGGTTTATTGTTTACTGCACTGGTTATTTTTGCTTTATTAACACTTGCTTTGCACTCAATGCCAACCCAAAACCCTGGTACAGCAATCGGCATCAGGTATGTTTCTTCATGTTATTTAAAAAATGACAATACTGTATGTTTACAGAAACAATGTGGCAGGAAACCTGCATCTGGGTCAGTGACTTTCAAGATATTTTTTAATTTGAATCATTTCAGATTGCAGAAATTTAAAATCCAAGGCATACTGTATACTGCACTCTTTCTGTATGAAAAAAACAGCTTTATTAAGAGGGGTATCTAAATGTCCAAAATATAAAATATCTAGAGTCTTAAAGTATCTTTCAATTACATTTGTATGGGTGTACTGTGAAACAAAAGTTACACCATGATGAAAAAGGACCTAGCCTCAATGCCTTGATCAGTGACTGAGATGGACGTTTCCTCTCACTGTTTGAATGAATGAATCCTGGAGATATCCTTGATTCCACAGAGCACTCTTTGAAGCAATTCAAGAACTTTGAACTTTATTTATATATGTTATAGATCAAGAAAAGGTACCATCTCAAATATGTTTCATGATTTATAAGATGAAATGTATGATTTTCAATCTTTTACGGTGTAGTTTATTTGGATTGAACTCCGAATTTTTAAAGACCAGTTATAAACAAGACATTAACTAGAAACTCAGTATCCAAATAAAACCTAGTAATAATCCCTAAATTAACATAAATAATAATAAACTTTATTTTATATAGCGCCTTTAAAGGTGGCTTCTCAAAGTGCCTAAGGTTAACATATAGAAACACCTGAGCACCCTTCTTTAGAAATTGTACCAGTTTATTGATTACTCATTTGTTTTTTTCATGTCACTCATTTTTAATGCAAGCTTCTTCTTACAGTATGTTAGGTGTTATAAAAGACTTAAAATTAAGTCTGAAAGAATAATTTTACTGGAAAACATTGCAATATAGCGTTTTTACAGGCTTACAATCACACAAACCATAAAACAGTAGTGAATTTCTGTCTTTATTTTTTTTTAAGATTATGATTGTGGCTCGTAATGGGTCATTTTATTTTAAGAAACTTGTATTTGAAGGTTCTTGAATTTAAAATAGCCAGAAAAAAAGATACACGAGTTTAGAAGACTTAAGAGTGCGATCTTGTTTTTTCAACATAATCTTTGCAACATAAAACACCTTCTTATCCATTAATGGGTAATAAAATGTATCCTGACACATGCAATGTGTTGGAGTGGCCTATTGACCTGCTGTACATGCACATATGATTGAGAGAGCTGTCTCCTTCCTTTTTCTTGTTGCATATTGTATGTGTAATAAAGTCAAGGAATCCAATTACTCAGCGTAAGCTTAGGGCATGATGTAAAATGAAGAGGAGAAAAAGAGGCTCAGCCCTTTCCAAGGATTGTAGGGGATTGCTATACCCAATGAGGCCCTTAAAGCTGCTTTTTAAAATCTGTTTTATCTGGATTTCTCTTTTTCATCTCTTTATCCAGTCAGTTTATTATAATTCAGACCAGCCAAACAGACTGGAAATAGCTCTCTTTAAGGCAGACTTTAAGGCTTTTAACTAAATATCTTTTGGACATAAAAAATAAATAAATATTGTATTGTGTTTTCAGGGTAGATGCTGGTTTACATTCTTAGTCCACGTTGATAGGTGTGTATTTCAACTAAGTTCAGGGTATCTTTTGTATGTATGGGACTAATAGTTTCTCATTTCCAAAATATAAATACATACAGGCCATAATCTGAGTTTACACTCAGATATTTACACTCTAAAATATGTGTATTTCAAGTCAAAACACGTTACAAATGTATCACAAATTAACAAAAGGGGAGCTATTTCAAACTCATTGCAATTACAGTAGCTGTTTATGAAAGAGGTGGTTCTGTTTCTGTATGTAGCCTAATTCCATAGGCTCTACCGGAATAAGAAAATAAAAATTAGAATTAGACACAAGTAACTGCAGTTAAATCAAAGGCACAGAAGCTATGATGCATTTCTATGAGTCCACAAGTTCATTTCTAAACAGGAAAAAAAAGATCAATACAAGAATCAATCTTCACAGTCCTTTGGGATCCAGAAACAAATATAATATGTAAATCAACGCTTACATTCATTAGGATATTGACATTCCCTGGGACTTGACTGACAGTCCTTTTGTGCAGAAATAAGGCTGCTGTTAAACTACTGCTGAGCAGTGCCTTTTACAAGCCGCTAATGCGCTCCATGGTTTATACTGACACTGGGGCAGCCTCTCTTAAACTGAACACCAATAAAGACTTGGCAGGTTTCAGCAGCTGACAGGCAGGCTAAATTTCCATCTCTTGTTTTTTTTTTTGCAGGTTTGCTTGCAAATGTCTAATTGATGCTGAAAAGACCGACGTGTTTGTATTAATGCAGCAATGTAATGTGCACGTGTGATGCTACTTCTTTAAAGTAACTTTGAAGTGGAAGGTTTTGTTTCTATGTTAAATGGTATCACGTGAAGTAGCCCGTAAGTAATGTTTACAATACATTCTGTTTGCACACTTCATGGGTCGTAATATAACCGTTAGCATAAATGCACAAAGTGCGGAGGTTTGAGACATTGTTATATTATATTAAGTAGTAATTACAGCAACATTTTCAATGTATCAGTCTTGAACACTTCACGGATTTATAGCTACTGTAGAAATGCAAAAAACTGTTTGGACTTTGACATGTATTATGCAGGCACGGGATAGTGCAAAGAGCTTTTTATGCTCCCAAAGGAACATTTTGTAACCGTACATTAATAATGAAGTACTGCACAGTTATTTTATGTCGAGTATAAGTTTAGACATAAGACAGAATCGTCGCTGTGTATTTGCTTTTAATTTCGGGATTTACATCCTGTTACAGGTACGGGTACTAGAAAGTCGGGGTTATTAATACCGAAAACGTAAAATTATAACACCTTCAGTACAAATTAACCTAGTTTATTTGGGTGTTTATTTTTACAGAAGTACAAATCTAACTTTTTTTTTAATGTCCCATGAATGTCCCGATCAAATCATGAAAATGTGTATTAACCTGAAAAGAAAACCAACAGTACGAAAGATTAAACTGCATATTTGTATAGCGTATTTAGTAAGATTGGCCAAGAACATTTATAGTTATTACTTTTTGACGGATTGTGGAGGTCTTATAGTATAGAACACAGTAGTGACTTTCTATCGGACTACAGAAATACAATACTGCAGAATACAGTACAATCTATGCTTCAAATGTCTTGAGAATAGTCCTGTCATTCTGAATGTAACACACACACGCACGGGTACTCGCAGTTATTTGTGAAAAGGCTTTTCAGCTTCAGAATGATAATATCATTATCCATAATAATAAATGCCTACGGTAAAACTTACCCTGGGAAACGGTAACAATTGTGAGAATCGTCGCTGTATATATCTGCAGCATCCTCCACAAGTGCGTGAAAAAGCACATTTTGGCAACCCGACTGGCTTCAAACTTATTCCATAGAAGATCCCTGTTTGATTACGTGTGTTAGCAGCAACCTATAAATTCAGGGAACTTAAGGGTGTAGAATCGATGCGAATTTATAGACTTTCTTCATTGTTGCCATGCCAGCCAGCGGCAAATAGGGTGCACTTTAAAATAACTTTTGCAAAGCAAATCAGGAAGGTTTCAGTGCTTGTGCTTCCGCGCCTATCAACACACTGTCCCTTCGTCCCTACAGCTCTAACCATGGAATACATCATTTAAAAGTGCGCTAGATCTGCACAAGCGCTATTTCAAATCAGGTAAATACGTATAAAACATATGAGCCAAAGAAACTTCTTCATGTAACTTTCTTGCAATGCAAAAACAAAAGTGTGCTTGATTTAATTTTCTTTTCCAAGTTGCATTACTGTTAATACGTGTTTTCCTACACATCCATTGCGGCGGGTACATTCCACCAGGAATAAAAGTCGTTTATAGAAAAATGCACATCGTAGCACAAAGCCATGGCAGTTGTCACCCCACTTCAAACGACACTGTTCAACTTTCAAAATTCCAAGTGGGCAGCTTCTAATTTTCACTCTGTGATGTTTGTCTATGACTGTCTACCTTTAGTACCACTTGTCGTCTCTTTTGCACTAGATCCACGCACAGCGCCCAAAGAGCTGAGATCCGATCAAGAGACCGTCCCGTTTACTTGCGCAGAGGATAAAGTCTGTCAGCGAATGAGACGCACCAAAGGCTGAAAGGATGATGCCAACAACTACCATAGCTTTAACAGATGTTCGACTGAAAAAAAAACTGTTAAAATCCACCCAAAAGCAAAGGAAAACGACCCAAATAGTCATACAAGCACATAATCAAGACACCGTTCACCAATCGTAACATTTCTCCAGTTGTGGTTTATTCCGAGTAATGAAGATAAAAATCAACGATTTCGTCTTTTGTATTGCAGACTACAAATTCCAAGCGAACGTACAGAGACATGGCTGCTTTGTAATAACATCTGTTAATGGCAAAAAAATAAAAGTTTTTTTTTTGAAGTGACAAACCACTGTCCTAACATTTGTTTTTCACGATCTGCTCTGCAGCAGGAATTAATGTATTTTGCACAAACAAGGTGTGCAGTAAATGAGCACAGAACAGTCACAAAAGTCAACGCCAATTACAGCTGATCTAATCGGCCAGTTACATGGATGTGCTGCCTTGTTTTACATTTAATCACCACAACATGAACGTCCTCATATTATTGAAAAAGTATACCCCTATATATCATCTTAGTATAATAATTAGTTTTGTAGTAATAGTAATAATAACTCAATATCGTGTTCATATTTTGGTGGGGGGAAATGGTCTAATGCATAAAAACGTCATCATTTTTTATTTCTTCATTATTTAAAGAAATGGCTGAGCTTCGCCAGCAATGAAAGACGAGCTCCCGAAATTAATAGCTCTATTCATTTGTTAATGATCATAAGACAATGGCAAGCTGAAATTGCTTTAGAGTATTGACAAGTTTATGAGCTCTCTGGCTACATTTGACAGTGAACTCCCATGTTTACTGTAAAACTACAGTTGTTTGTTATAACAGTGTGTTATAATACAAGTACATTTGAGTGCAAGTAAATAGCTGAGAACAGCAAGTGCATTACACAGTAATGGGTATGCTTTACGTCTGATGAGATACAGTATTACGAATCACCTCAGGTCACAACTGAGTGATGTAAAAGTGACTTGCCAGTTGTTTCTCTGCACACGTGGAGCATATTCAGATTTTACACACACCAAAGGGACACTGTAGAAGGCCTACAGCTGATCCGTAAGCGAACTAATTGCTGTGGTCCTGTGCTATAGCTCATGAAACAGTAAACCAACAAAGAGCACAAAGTTCTGACTGTGAAACACTAAGTGTTACAGACATTGAGTTGCATAATCAAGGGCAAAACTTCAGCCTCTTGAAATCTGGGGCGTGAAGTCCAGATGCTGATTTTATTAGAGTTTTCTATG